TTAATAAGAAAAGAGATTGTTCATATTAACTTTATGAATTTAGAATAATGATTTTTGCAATCAGAATTATCTAAAAATGCAAAGGCAGCTGTTGATTTATTTGATATTATTTAAATAGTATTTATTTAATTTCTTTTTTAATTTAATTGAAATGAATTTTGAATGGAAATTTCATTCGGTGCATAGTGCATAATTGCAAATTCACGTATGCATTTTTTTAATGATTAAACATGATACTAATTAACCGGCTTATAAAATTTATAAAAAGAAACAGCAAATCTCAGTTATAACAATAATATCACTTATTCTACAATTTTATTGGAAAAGGAGATATTACAAAATATCAATTTTAAATTTCGAATTTTTTTATTTGAATTACAGTGCAATTTTGCAATTATTATTGATACTGGAGAATTATCGTGGAGAAAAATGAATATCAATGTAGAATTTAATGTATTATATTGTCTTTCTTTATCTCTTTTTCTAGTCAAAGACTTATATTAATATGGTGCAGTAACTTCATTTTCCTATAACTTCTAGCAGAGATTCTCACTTAATTTAAAACGAATATTCAAATGCGAAAGGAAATGCGCAAGACAAGTCAAGAAGATATTTTAATAATAGATACGAGAATTTTCTTTTTCTGAAAAATAAGAGTTTTATAAAACGTTCGTCTATCTTTCTTCTCTTCTTCTTCTTACATTATATTTCTGGCCTGTGTTACACTCTCATATGCTTGTAGTGCGTACGCTGATTATTCAATTGCCACAAGCATATGAGACCTACAGTTTTAATGCAGTTTTAATGGTTCTGAACGGCGGATTTTTCGAGAGTGTTTCTGTGAGTAAGAATTCTCTAGGGAGGCTTTTTCCGAGAGAAAACGAACGTATATTTTGTTTCTACCAGGATCCTGGATCTCCAGGAAATCCAGGACCTCTGGCATGATAGTGCACTGTCTGTCATGCCACGCTCGCGCTCTCGTTTATCTTTAAAACTGCGAATTTCTATTGCGAATTTTTGTTAAATTACCTATTTTTCAAATTATTTATTAATTTTTACATAAGCAATAACCGAAAAAAAAGATCTGATCTTGTGTTCATTATTTATTGTATCGTAATTTCCTCATACAATATAGCAGTTTAAGCGATTAATTTATACCTTTTATGTATAAATTATGCTATATCATAAATTCTTAAACACTGAATCTTGTGGATTCAATATATGTATTCATAATTTTTTTCTAGTGCAATGTTATTAATTCATTCATTTGTATGTAGGTTTTGTAAAATTTTACATTCTCTTAAATAATTTAAATCCTTTTTAAATAAATACATAAATTATTTATATATATATATAAAATTTAGCAATTTTTTAATTTATTAATTATATATATGTATATGATGTATTTATTTATTTGTTCGATAAAGTAGTCTTAGGTTTAATGACCGTGATAACACTACGGCTCTTTTACATGCAATATTCGCAACTTGGAATAAAATATTCTAGTCACAGGAAGATAATTTCTCGTGAGGGCTCCAGCAATTGGGCTAGGCAGCAACGTACCAAAAAGACATAATTAGAATATTAATCGCGATGCGCGATTACGCGAAGTTAAGCTTCGAAGATATATGTATAGGGTTAAAGAAGAATCATATTTGGAAAATCTACATTGTTTACGACTTTGACAGAGAAACTACGTAGCGCTAACTCTCACTCATAACGACTGATTTCTTTCTAACGAGAAATTCCCGACTGCTCATATCGAGTCATTGAGTATGAAATGTATTTTTTGTGTTCAGCATATCTGAAGATAAATATTTGATTTTTCATCTTTTCCATTCTTCTAAACTTTACATTTGAATGAGATTGAGAAACTCTGATATCTCGTTCTGAAAAATATGACAAAATTTTTTTATTTTTTTATTACTAAAGTATTCTTTCACATACTTGAAAATTACATTTCATATGCAATGACAGCTCGATCAATGCTATTGAGCTCCACATTAATGTAATGTGTCGGATACATTTTACAATTTTTCCAGTGCAATGATTGTGATTGCTCCCTTCCTGAGATTCGTTTTCGCGTATAATATATATATATATATATATATATATATATATATCGAATATACAGCGAAGTTATGGGAATGTTAAAAGGATATATAAACTTGGAAATAATATCTTTCGCACACTGTTCTGATTTCTTAAATCATCAACATCTAGTAAATTCTGTGTCAGAAACGACGTGCGAAGAAATCATTTTCAAAATTCGAATTTCTACTTTCAAAGGGCAGAACGCTCTGATCAGTTCGTTATTGAGAAGAATTCATGAACTGATTCTTGAACCTGATATCTGTACTTTATGATTTACAGCCAACGAATGTTACTGTCTCGTTAAAATGAAAAAAAAAATTCGGATATTATATCTGTAATATACTCTGTATTGTTGTTGTGTGATTAAATCGAAAACCTCAAACATACACCACATTTTGTTTCTGAAAACTTTATTCCATATCTTGAGAAAAATATTATAAAAAATTGTAAAATTATTGAATATGTGATTATGATCGATATATTAAGATTCTAATATCAATAGACAATTAAAAATATAAACAAATAAAAATTATAAATAAATAAACATTGATATTCAATAAGCTCGGTATCGGAAAAGGAAATGACATAACAAAAGAATAGTTATATAAGAATAATATACAAATAAATAAAAAGGTATGTAGTTTGCATGTAACTTCTTATATTCTTATTTATATCCTGATATCTATTAAAATAATGTCAATTATATTTATATTTATACGAAACCAATCAAATTGACCACCAACTCTCAATAAGACGTTAATAGTTATTCCCAAATTTTTAATATTGTCTATAAATAATTTCAATATCGGAAAAAAGAATGATATAAATTATAAAAAGTAAAGAAAATAAACTACAATATAAAACAAAAAAATTTCAATTTATATTTTATATTGTGTTCTCACATGTTAGGGTCTAAAATAAGATTCTTATTGTTTACATTACGTCGCCTCAAAGAAGGACGTCTCCTTATATATACCGATTATTGCGAGGAATATTACTATAAGGCCTCGATAATCTAAAAACTTAGGACGCTCGTACGGAATATAAGAGATTCGAGTTTGATTCCTGGCCGAGGTATTTTTCGCAATTTTATTTACAGTTTTCCAACATATTGATATCTTTCTATAATATGATTGTGCATCAAATTATTAAGAATTGCTTGTCAATTTAATTCGTGATATTATTACAGTAATTTAATTGCGTTTATAAGTCCGGAAAACCAATTGTTTAAAGGACTATAAATATGGTATATATGCATGTACATATATAGTATATAATATATAATTCATATTAAATTGTTTCCCAATACTAATTGTTACCCATTGGGGTCGGCCAGAACCTATCTCCTTTCCCCGACTTAATTGTTAGATTCGGTCATTTCCGAAAGAAATGTTTCCTACAAAAGTTGTAAGGTTTTAAATAATCTATTCACTGATCTGGTCAAGTTTAACCTTAGGTGGCATTGCCAAAGTCAGGCTATCCTAATAGCACAGACCTCCAGGGGATATCCTGAGAACGTTCGTATGTCCTTTAAATATCCTAAGGATGTATCCTGAATAAAGTGTGCTATTAGGGCAAGGTCACACCGAATTTTTTTAAATGGCACATTCTGTTTTTGATTTCAGAATCTAATAGCTGGTATCAAGAACTTTTCAAAACACTACAATAAAGTTATTTTTCGAGTTATAAGCTAGGCTAAGTTTACATATAGCGCCAGCATTACGTAAGTTGTCCGACCAACGACTAAGATCTCTTGAATGCCATTCAGAATTAGATTCTGAAAAACATTGTTAAGATCAAGATCATTGAAGATTATTTCTCTTGTTTCGATTTTTGCACTGAAAATTCATTTTTATATAAAATAGTTTATTATATATATAAAATAGTTCTTTCTAGCGTCAAAACAACAGAAGATGGTTTTTCTGCTAAGGGATTGCAACTCAAAAATAGTTTTGTGCGTATTTCACAAGCTCTTAAATCAGCAGATAATCTTTCATCATAAAACGATTTATTTTCTTATCTACTTATCTACTAAAATATAGTTCTCTCTTGCATGAAAAGGGCAAGAGGTGGTTTCTCTGCTAATGGGTTGCAGCTAAAAAAAGTCTTCTTTTTTCTGTCAACGTAATTTTGAATAGCATGTAAAAGTTATTGCAATAGGTTAATCGAACTTCTGTATGTCATATTGCTTTGTAAGAATCTAATAGCACAATATAGTATTAAATTGTTGTGTAATATGTTTGCGACAAAAAAGCATCACGTTATGGATACTACTTAGGAAAAAGTGTTTCAATATACTGATCAACTATTCAATAACTGTTAATATTTCACCAGTAACTAATAAAATATTAGCAGTTACTGAATAGTTAATCAATATATTGAAACTTTTTCTTAAGGATATTTACAATTTAAAAAAAAATAAAATTGGTGAGTATATTTTTTAATTCCTTTTTTTCTCTTACTTTTTAGTATCTTACCATTCGCAATTTTTCTACAATCCCTAGAATAGTATGTCTTAGATAATATTTAATATAATTACAGTTAATCATTATTGTAACAAAGGACCCTTTGTTACAATATTAATCTTATGAAATTTGAGTTTTGGTAAAATTGGCTGAAATTTTGATATGTTGTAACTTTATCCTTCTCAACTTTTGAAAAAATTAACAGTAATAAACAATTTATTAAGACTGTATAATGTGAATACACAATAAGTAAAAAATAAAACCTATAACGTTCGAAGTTGGATCTTAAATGCTTTAAATTCTATCATATAATTAAAACTAAATAAAAATTATAAGTAAATACATGTTAATATTCCATTAATAAACTCAATATCAAAAAAAGAAATGATATAACAAGAAAATAGTTATAAAATAATATCAATTATATTTATATATTACACCCTCTTAATATGTATTAAGTATAATAAATTGATATACTTTGTACATTTCTTAGACCAACATCAACAAATATAACGATGGAATGTATTACTCACATATTACTTCACTTTGTACAATAAGAGTGCCGTTAGTACTTAGTAAATTTATTAAAAATATTTGTGTAAAATTATCTTATCGCTCTTGATTTTTTAAATGATCAAGAAGTATCATAGCATACCCATATGCAACGTACATTATTCATTGTACTTATAAAAATACTTATAATAATAATTACAATAGATCCTCGTATTTTTCTACTTCTCTTTCGAAACTTTTGCTCTTTTATTGGCAACATATATAATCCATACAAAACCAATCAAATTGACAATCAAGACTCTCAACTGAAAAAAAAAGAACAATGTTAATAATTGCTTCCAATAAATTTTTAATATTAATGTCTAAATAATTTTAATATCAGAAAAAAAATAATATAAAATATATAAAGATTAAAAAGAAAAGAAATTATAATAAAACAACAAAAATTTTAATTTATATTTTATATGTACATATAAATATAAATTGGAAAGAAATTTCTAAGATTTTTTTTATATGAAAATAGAGAAATATCTAGAAAGTATTGTAATAAGATAATATGCATGTTACCATTGGTGGAACATATCTTATGTTGATATAATGGAACAACGTCAAATATTTCAGATTAGCCCTCAATGTCGGTAAATATAATTTTTGCATCTGAGTATATGCCACTTGATGGGTTTTGCCCTGCAAACAGACTTCCCTTTAATATTAAATTACAAAATAAGAATGTCAAACGTAATAAATTAAAATAATTTTGTGTCTTCAAAAATAATCAAATATAAGTAAAAATATTTGCATGAAGCACCATGGTTGTTAATGCATAAATAATATATTTATAAAGCGATAAAGTAATTTGCAAACAATTGGATTGTACTTATTAAACAAAGTTAACTGCAAACGTTTGGACTCTGCAAATAGAGCTTATACTTGATTTTCATACAAAGAGATTTAGATTCGAAATGTTTACAATTAAATAGATTCCAATTGTTTGTGAATTATATTTTTATTTATAAATATTAATGTATAAATGTATTATTTATACACTAACAATCACGAAAAATCATATAAGACATTTATTTTTACATGTATGCCTATACACAATACATACTTTATATGTATATGTGCGTAGGCCTAATAATTTTAATTTCTAATAATATTATTTGTTTAGATAGCATTGTTTAATTTACGGCATTATAATATATTTTTATCTTACAAAAGCAACTATTGCAACAGATTATGATCTTCATACCTCAAAGATGGCAAGTAGATAGAGCGCAAGAGCTTGGAAACACGGTGTGTATATAAGTCTCTCTATTAGAAGAATTCCTAAAGGATGTTTCACGAACAATTGTATATATGTATAAAAGTAATGGGGTACCGGACCTCCAAATAATAGTCTGCAACAACATTCCTGTATGAAATTACGTAAATTTTTCAAAGCTACTTTGTTAACAGTGCATATGACAGTCACCCAAATAGAGCAAAAGCCAAGATACTGTCTTCATTAAGCTGCTTGATGTTGGATAATTTCTGAGATACCACATTTCCAAGGGCGCCGATAATGCAACTAAAAATAATTACACATTTCTTGTTTCTATCGCCTAATTTAGCAATATAATCGAAACATATATATAATAAATCAGGTTTATAAAAATATGTTCACTAAAATATTGCTTATATATATAATACACACACACACACACACACATACACACACACACATATA